CTGGAGAGATGGCTCAGTGGTCTAAAGCACCTACTTAGAACAAGCTTGGCAAAGCATCAGGGACCGCGGTTCAATCCCCCAGCACCACATGCCAGCCAGTCCCGCCCCCTGGTGGGCTAAGCTGGCCACACACACACACCACACTCTCTCTCTCTCTCTCTCTCTCTGTCTCTCTCTCTCTCTGTCTCTCAAATAAATAAAATAAAAAAAAATTAAAAAAAAAAAAAAACAAACATCCTACAGAGTCAAAGAAAATGTCTGTAAACTTTTCACCTTTTGTGGGTTCCAGGAAATCTACTCAATACTTTGCGCTTGCCAGGCAGGCGCTTATGCCGCTGAGCTATCTCTCTGGCTACAGTCTTTATCTGACAATGATTGATTTCCAGAGTATGTAAAAGACTCAAATAATTCAACAGAAAAAAAAAAGAATCCAATGAGAAAATAAACAAATGACTTGAATAGACATTATCAAAAGAGAATATGCAAAGAGACAACAAGTACTGCTTATAAAAATGCTCAACAGCAGCCAGGCAAGGCAGTGTACTCCTGTAATCCCAGCACTCAGAGACTGAGGCAGGAGGATCACAAGTTCAGGGTCAGTCTTAACTAGATAGTGAGCCCTGGAGAGAGAGAGAGAGAGAGAGAGAGAGAGAGAGAGAGAGAGAGAGAGGAAAGAGAAAGAAAGGAAGGAGGGAAGGAAGGAAGGAAGGAAGGAAGGAAGGAAGGAAGGAAGGAAGGTAAACCAAAATGACAAAGAGCTATCATTTCACCTGGTTTACCTGGCAATTATCAAAAAGAAACGAAATTAACAAATGCCAGTGAAGATGTGGGAAAAGGGGAACTCTGGTGCATTGTTATAACAGTGATAAACTATCCAACAATTATGGAAAATTGTCTCTTACTTTTTCCAAACAATTAAAAGGACTATTGCATCTTCCAGCAAGCCACTCCTAAGATTAGTATGATTAGAAAGGACGAGGCTGAGTGAGCCACCTGGTCCCTCCCATCCAGTCGCAAACACCACACTGCAGGGCTCCATTTGGACCCAATTCTCTCAGCACCCACCCTACCTGCCAGCAGAGGCACTGTTTTCAGCTCAGCACTGGCGCCCTAGGCAAACACAGGCCATCAAAAAGGACATCATGGGGGCTGGGGAGATGGCTCAGTAGAATAAGTGCTTCCCTGGCAAGTACAAGGGCCTGAGTTCAAATCCCCAGTTTCACAAAAAAATTAAATAAATAAAAAAGGAGATCACGTCTGCATCATGTACTCTGAATAACTACTATGAAGACAATATGCAATGTATTAATTGTTGTAACTGTCCTACTAACCTGTTTTGAAACTCTCATTGCTATTTGTTTCTCAATAAAATTAATTTTTAAAAAATGAGATAAGGGGCTGGTGAGATGGCTTAGTGGTCTAAAGCACCTACTTAGAACAAGCTTAGCTGAGCAAAGCACAGGGACCGCGGTTCAATCCCCCAGCACCACATGCCAGCCAGCCCCGCCCCCTGGTGGGCTGAGCTGGCCACACACACACACACACACACACACACACAAAATAAACACAAAATAAATAAATAAATAAATAAATAAATATGAGATAAGACAGCAGGGAATCTTCCAAATACCCAGACAGCTGAAGACACCCAAATATTTACACCAGATGTTTCTTTCAAGAATTTTGCCCACTGAGGCATGAGAAATCCAGAGAAATTTGACCGCTGATGTTCACTAAGATCTTCCTGCCTACCGTCCCTTCTTTCAAGTCCTATATATAAAAAAGCCCGCTTTTCTTTGCTCCCTACAGATGGCCTTTCTGTCTTCTCTCTGCCTTGGTTCAGACACAATAAATTGCTTCGACGCGAGCTGGGTGGTCTTGGTTGGTCTTTGCCTCGCATGCTCCTTACACGCACCACACCGCCCTGATGGCTACCTATGTTCCCGCAATCCTAAAAGAAGTTCAAAGAAGGCAGGAGATAGCTCAATGGCATAGGCACCTGCCCAGCAAGCACAAGGTCCTGAGTTCGATCCACAGTACCAGAAAAAGTTCAAAGGAAAAGAATAAAAGCTTAGGAGGTCGCCATGCCTGAGGTAGCAGATCATCAATCCAGTGAGACACGGAATGGGAGGCACGTAGGATCAGAGGTGTCTGACCCTGTAAACACAAGAAACCTGAGTTACTGAGTTTCTTTTTTCTGCTTTTCCTTTTGCCTATCCCTGGTGCTGCCAGCCTAAGATCTTCAATAAATGTAGCTACTTACGACACACTATGAGATGTATGTTTGGCAACTCTCCCCTCATCATACCCAAGAACATGAACTCTTTTTGGTCTACTCTGTTAGTCCTCATAACCTGAACAGAAAAAACTTAGACTAGTCTGTTTAAAGAGGAAAACCCCCTCACTCGGCCAGAGAAACTAAAATAAATCTGTTTATCAGGATGTCTCCCAGGCCTGGTTGTCAGGCTTACAGGAAACACTGTAAGTCTATAGAATGCCACTCTGTGATTCAGCAGAATGCTGCTGTCACCCCACACTTTCCCATGGGTGCTTCCTGCCAGAGGCACTAGACCCACCAAGGGACCCCCTCCCATGCTCGAACTCATTTATAAATTATATTCTCTTCCTTTGTTCTTGGTCCACAGCCTTCTCACTCTTGACCAGGCTGCACCTGGCCTGAAAAAAAGATATTGCTGTTTGCTTCAATCCGGCCTGTCCTAGTGGCCTCAGTCACTCCTCAGAGTTCAGCCTGAAATACTCAACTGTAACAAGTACAGATCAAAAAGGAATGAAGTCAGTATGTTGAAGAGACATCTGAGCTCTGTTATTGTAGCACGATTCAAAATGGGCAAGATTTAGAATAACATGGGTGGAACAGGAGGACATTATGGTATGTGAGCTAAGTCAGATATGGAAAGATAAATATTACATGTTTACAATTGACATTTGGAACCTAAAAAGTTAATCTCAAAATGATAAGAATTGTATTTGCCAGAGCCTGGAAAAGCTAGGCAATGTGGAGAGATAGAGCCGGAGATGGGAGGACAGAGATATTTGGGTAGGAGGAAGAGTTTCTAATGTTTTTCTAATTTTTTGTAACAGTTGGCCACAGAACTGACAACAAAAATTCTTTTTCAAATCAGAACAAACACATTCAACCTCACTAATCATTAGGGACATGCAAATCAAAATGACAAAAAGCCATTCTTTATCTATTTTCTAAATAGCAAATATGGGGCTGGCCAATAGCTCAGCGGATTAAAGTGCCTGCAAGTTTGATCCCCTCAGGCCTGCTGTGCAGGCCCCACCCCTGGGGGCATGCTGAGATGGCAATTGAAACTGGGCATGGTGGCACGCGCCTGTAATCCCACCTCTTGGGAAACTGTAAACAGGAGAATCACTATGAGTCCAATCTAGTAGTGAGACCCTGAACACCCTGAAGACCCTTCCCTAAAATACAGAAACAAACAAATAAATAAATAAATAAATAAAATAGCAAATAGAATGTTAAACGTTTCTAACACAAGATATATGTCTGCCAAGACAATTATCCTCGTCTGATTTACTATCTACATATATTAAATGTCATTCTTTTTTTTGACACTAGGGATCAAACTCAGGACCTTATACTTGCCAAGCAGGTACTAAAGCCACTGAGCTATCTCTTCAGTAATCTACATATGTTAAAATCTCACAGTGTGTCTAATAAATATATACAATTACTATGTGTAAATTAAAAACACTTTTAAAAGACTAGATTTGTTGATTAATTCATTCAATTATTCATTTATCTATCTCTCTGGAGCAACCAGGGAGGAGAACTATTCTTCTGAAAGAAGGTGTTTTTATTTTGCTTTTGTTTGCGTCTGCAGCACCTACTGTAGAGCCCACTAGCACAGTTAGGAACAAAGGATCTAAAAGAATCAATTCGAATCAATTCCTTTCCTCTGCTTAACTGTAAACAGCACCCCACAGTTATTCCTGCTTATTATCCTAAGGGAGATTTTTAAAAATAACAGCAAACTGCTTAGGCGGAGTGCAGCAGCCAGGGTTCAATCCCCCAGGAAGGGCCCCAGATGCCCAGCCTCTGACTTTCCAGTGTTTTAAACTTCCAGCCCAACTTACCTGGGAGGAGTAGGAGGAGCAAGGCAGGGAACAGACACGTGGTCATGTCTCAGTCGTTTCCAAACTCAATGCTGCTTAGAAATGTGAAGCCCGGCTCAGGAAAGCATGCACCAAGTTTGCCTGGCTCTCCTCTGAGCTTCTTCCTCATTCACTTCCTTTGTGTTTGCAAGAATTTCCCAGCTTTACATATTAGGAGAAAAGAGATGTTGTTTATTTAGAAGACTCAGTCATTGTAGGGCAATCTGTGTTGCAACTTTTGCACTTGTAAGAAAGAGAAAGAGTCCAGGCCTCTTAAGGTTTGCATGGGACAGAAAATGCACACAGAGGTGCAGTGGAGGTGGGAGAGGAGAGGGGTAAAGGGCAGGAGGAGGAGGAGCCCAGGAAGTGCTAACTCAGAGGTTCTGCCGACAAGGAGAACACAGCGCTGGCAGTGAGCAACAGCCAGAAGAGGCGCTGATGCCAACACACTGGCTTTGCAATGTGGGACATTCCAGCCATGCAGGGCTCACACCAGTGGTGTGGCAGTGAGACCCATTAGTATGTGACAAAGTTGGCTGTGGATGTAAGTATAGCCTTTTAATTACAAAGTCCAAGGACACGTACAAAAATCTGTTTCCAAAGTCCTCCACATGGACTTCTTTCAAGAGTTGGAGCAGGTTTTCCATAGGATTATTATAGACAGTAATCCATAGGATTATTAGATTCCTAAATTAGGTAGAAATATTATAGGCAGTCAGGGTGGGGTCCTGAAGAGAAAGACTCAAGATAAAAAGTGGAACCCCACCACCACTGTGACCAGAGACACACCAGTTGGAGTCCAGACCTCAGGATATCTGCAAAAGGACCAGGCCTACATAGACCATAAGGGATAAGGGATAATACCTGGTCTAATAAATGTAGGCATTAGTTACCTCAGTGGGCAACCAAGACCCTCAGACCCATCACCAACCTGAGAAGTTCTTTGTCCTTTCCACACCCACTCACTCAGTGATTTGCTTCCCCATTGGATCAATGTTACCTAAGCTGCTAAACCTATCTTTTTTTTTTTTAACCTATCATCTTATTGGTTGATCATAGCTGTTACCTGCATTGTACCCATGTGGTTAAGCTCCATAAAACTTCCCCTAAGAAGTGGAATCTGGGTCAACCCATGTTCTGGGTGTCCCTTTCTGTCCCTGTCAGGCAAAAACTTTGTGTGTGTGTGTGTGTGTGTGTGTGTGTGTGTGTGGCCAGCTCAGCCCACCAGGGGGCGGGGCTGGCTGGCATGTGGTGCTGGGGGATTGAACCATGGTCCCTGTGCTTTGCTAAGCTTGTTCCAAGTAGGTGCTTTAGACCACTGAGCCATCTCACCAGCCCCTAGGCAAAAACTTTTTATTCCTCAATAAATATTTCCTATTCTTAACCTCCACTGTTCCTAGAATTCATTTTTCAATTTTACTTGTTTATTTATTTATTTAGGCAGAACTGGGGATTGAACTCAGGCCCTTGCACTTGCCAGGCAAGCGCCTATTCTCCTGAGCCATCTCCCCGGTCCTTCATTTTTTAATTTTAGAGAATACAAACTCAGCATATCAGACATGACAGGTTGCAAACTATAATATTTCTTTTATATCATATTTGGAGGCTCTGATATCATCCCTGTATCAGAATGGCCTAGACCTGACGGCAGTCTGAGGAGTAGGCAAAACAAAAGGACTGCCCACGCTGGGCCTTTGCCACTGTGTTTTCTCTTGTGTGGTGGCCCGCCCTCATGCTGTAGGGTGCACTTCTTATCTGTTCCTACCTGAGCTAAACTTGCTCAGCAGAGCCTGTTTCTTTGCCCATGTTTAATAAAATTTTATTACCATTTGTACTTGTCTTGACCAATTCTTTGGTCAGGGCAGAAAGAACCTGGAAACCACCCCCAGAAGGAGACTCCAGCACCCCTAAACCCAGTAGCAGGTAAAAAAGCAGTCTCTGCCTAAACTCCTTCTAGGAAGCCCCACCATCCCTCTTCCTAGCTGTCCTGTGCCTGAGCTTGACCCACTGTTGGTCTGTAGCACAGGCCTGCTGTACGGTACGAGAAAGGAGTAGTTGTATTTTCCCTCTCGACTCATTCTGTCTGTGTGGCTCCTCTCGTATCTTTGCCCATCTTCTCTTGGTTGTCAGCAGTCACCCAGCTCAATGCATCAAACCTGCTTATCCTATTTGGAACAGGTAAGTGGTGGAAGACATAGAGGAGATGCACCCTGAGCCCTCGGCACACATGAGGTTGATTTTAGGTTTCACTTTCTTAAGGCTTAGGTGTCATTTCCCTGAAAAGAGTATACAGTAGTATTCTAGAAAGAGAGAGTTTGGTAGGCAAGACAGGTGGAAAAGGCAAGCCCACAAGGAGTCAGGGTGACCCAGTGAAGGACAACATGAGACTGGGGGCTAACAAATGTCAGGCCTCAAGATGGGGACACAATGGCCACGACAGGGCCCCCGTGGCCTGATAAAAAGGACCCCATGTTAAATTGGTGGGATCCTCCTGTGCAGGCATGTGACGAAAACAAGATGATAAATAAATAGTACCACCGAGCCTCTACTCGTTCCCCTCTGAAGAGTGCCTTTGCTCTCTTGTGCTGATAGCTTTAGAAAAGTCAGAATAATGGTGTTTGCAAAAGTATACTCATTACTGAGTTCCTAGAGACCCTTTTCTAAGCCAGACACTCCTGTTTGTAACTCCATGGGCTGATCTCAACTTGGCCCGGAGTGGTCTGAGATATAGTCATATTTTTTTTTAGCATAAAAACTCACAGAGAAAGAGACCTCTTGGTAACATGCTTGGGTCCCCTTGCAGTGGTGGGAACCTTCTGCCTTTGCTCGCTTTGCAATAAATGCTTCAGCTCGCTTCTCTCTGGACTGTCTGCCTTGCTCTTTCTGTGCTGAGAGAACCTGTCCAATGGTCACACTATTAACAGAGTGAGCAACTTTCCAGTCTCTGCCCACTTCTTTCTGAAGGTCTTTTTCCAGTTTCTTCATCGTCTTCTCCCTCTTCTACTACTTGGGCCCATTATTTTTTGGTCTTTGCTTTTTTTCATTCATATTTTCCACGTTTTATAATTCATATTAGTGCATATCTGCAGCACATAATGATTACAATCATCGTGAGGAGTTAGTACATGTACAGAATGGATCTTACTTCTATTTAGTTCCCACTCCCTTCCTCTCCCTTCTCACCCTTTTATGTCTCTTGATCTCCTTCCCACTTGCAAAATACTGCCTCCCTCTTTCCTATCATTTATCTTCTATCTTTGCCTTTAAATTCTTCATATTTTGGATTTCTTATGTAAGAGAAACCATGTGCTACTTGAGCTCACGTGTCTAATTTATTTAATGTACAGTTGTGGTCCCAAGATGTACTCATTTTCCTATAAGTGGCTCAAATTTATTCTTTTTTTAGCTTTGCTTTCTTTTTTAAAAACTATTTATTTATGTGTGTGTGTGTGTGTGTGTGTGTGTGTGTGTGTGTGGCCAGCTCAGCCCACCAGGGGGCAGGGCTGGCTGGCATGTGGTGCTGGGGGATTGAACCACGGTCCCTGTGCTCCGCTAAGCTTGTTCTAAGTAGGTGCTTTAGACCACTGAGCCATCTCACCAGCCCCAATAATTCAGCAATTTTTTTTTTTTTTTTTTTTTTTTTTTTTTTTTTTTTTTTTTGTGGAACTGGGGATTGAACTCAGCCCTTGTGCTTGCCAGGGAAGCGCTTATTCCACTGAGCCATCTCCCCAGCATCAAATTTATTCTTCTTTATGACAAAGCAATACTCCATTTTGTAAAAATACCACATTTTCCTTATCCATTCTTTTGCTGCTGATGAACAGATAGGCTGCTTCCATGATTTAGAGTTAGGTAGCTCTTTCACTTATTTTGCTAAGTTAATTCCTAACTATTTAATGTTTCTCAAAGCTATGGTAAATGGTATTCTTTTCTTTCTGAGTCTCTTGTTTATTGGAGTACAAGGTAGCTACCAATAATCTTCTGGCCTACAAGCAGGCACAGGGACCAGGGATTGGTCCCCAGGCCTGCTGTGCAGGTCCCATCCCTGGGGCGCACTGAGAAGGCAATTGAGACTGGGCATGGTGGCACGTACCTGTAATCCCAGGTCTTGCAAGGCTGTAAATAGCCGGATCACTACGAGTCCAATCTAGTAGTGAAACCTTGAACACTCCGTAGACCCTTCCTTAAAATACAAAAAAAAAAAAAAAAAAAAAAGATATTTTGGTTTCAGTGTTGCTCTTTGTGATACCTTTTAAATTTCTAATTGCATTGTTGTGGGTCTTTTCCTTTTTGGGAAGAGTGCCTAAGGCTGTGTCTATCTTGTTTGTTCGTGCAAAGAACTAGCTTTCCGATTCACTGATTCTTTGTACTGCTCTTTTAGTCTCAATGTCATTAATTTCCACTCTGATCTTTATAATTTCCTTTATTATATTAACTAGTTTTCAATTGTTTTTATTTTTCTAGAACCTGGACATGCATCTTTGGGTTATTTATGTGGACTCTGATTTTCTAATGTGGGCAGTCACAGCTAGAAACTCCCTCACCAGACTGCTTTTGTTGTGTTCTGTGAGTTCTGGTACATTGAGCTGACATTGCTGTTTGATTCTAGGAACCTGTTATTTTCTTTGATCCATTTATTATTCAAGAGTGTATTGCTTAATCTCCATGTGTTTGCATAATCTTATGGATTCTTTTATCATTGATTTCCAGTTTCATTGCATTGTGATCTCATAATATCCACAAGATAATTATTTGTTTCAGGATATCTGTGGGTTAGTATGTAGTTTATTTTGAGGAAATTTCTCTGATGCTGAGAAGAATGTGTGTAGTGTTGTGTTGAGTAGAACAGTCTACAGATTTCTATTAAGCTTGAAGGTGTGATTCAACCTCTGATATCTCTTTGTAGATATTTTTCATTTAGTTAATCTATTTATGATATGAGATATTGAGGACTCCCCATTATGATTGTTGGTGTTTATCTATCTTTTTCACATTGGAAAATTATTTATTATGACAAAAATAAAACTGTTGACAGAAAATCGATGTTACACTATATTGCACCATAATTGCAAATGAGCCAAATCCTGTCTACCAGATGAATATTTCAGAGCAAACAGCACTGTTTTTACTTGAGTAAGTAGGTATACAAGCAACACATTACA